CGGCTTCACGATAGTACACTATAGCGCCACATCGGTGTGGTACGGGATCGAGACGAAATTTCTATGGATGCTCTGCGTTGCGGCCTCGTTTGGACGTGGCGTCGTCGGTTGCGGCAGCACGGTAGTAGGCTTCCCCCACGGTCAGAGCACGCGCGTGTCGCGGCTTCACGATAGTACACTATAGCGCCACATCGGTGTGGTACGGGAGCAAGACGAATTGTTTACGGATGTTTTGCGTTTCGGCCTCGTTTCGGCGTGGCGCCGTCGGTTGCGGCAGCACGGTAGTAAGCTTCCCCCACGGTCAGAGCACGCGCGTGTCGCGGCTTCACGATAGTACACTATAGCGCCACATCGGTGTGGTACGGGATCCAGACGAAATTTCTATGGATGCTCTGCGTTGCGGCCTCGTTTCGGCGTGGCGTCGTCGGTTGCGGCAGCACGGTATTAGGCTTCCCCCACGGTCAGAGCACGCGCGTGTCGCGGCTTCACGATAGTACACTATAGCGCCACATCGGTGTGGTACGGGAGCAAGACGAATTGTTTACGGATGTTCTGCGTTTCGGCCTCGTTTCGGCGTGGCGTCGTCGGTTGCGGCAGCACGGTAGTAAGCTTCCCCCACGGTCACAGCACGCGCGTGTCGCGGCTTCACGATAGCACACTATAGCGCCACATGGGTGTGGTACGGGATCAGGACGAAATTTCTATGGATGCTCTGCGTTGCGGCCTCGTTTCGGCGTGGCGTCGTCGGTTGCGGTAGCAAGGTAGTAGGCTTCTGCCACGGTCAGAGCACGCGCGTGTCGCGGCTTCACGATAGTACACTATAGCGCCACATCGGTGTGATACGGGATCAAGACGAATTGTTGTATGGATATTCTGCGCTTCGGCCTCGTTTCGGCGTGGCGTCGTCGGTTGCGGCAGCACGGTAGTAAGCTTCCCCCACGGTCAGAGCACGCGCGTGTCGCGGCTTCACGATAGTACACTATAGCGCCACATGGGTGTGGTACGGGATCAAGACGACATGTCTATGGATGCTCTGCGTTGCGGCCTCGTTTCGGCGTGGCGTCGTCGGTTGCGGTAGCACGGTAGTAGGCTTCTGCCACGGTCAGAGCACGCGCGTGTCGCGGCTTCACGATAGTACACTATAGCGTTACATGGGTGTGATACGGGATCAAGGCAAATTGTTGTATGAAAATTATGCGTTTCGGCCTCGTTTCGGCGTGGCGTCGTCGGTTGCGGCAGCACGGTAGTAGGCTTCTGCCACGGTCAGAGCACGCGCGTGTCGCGGCTTCACGATAGTACACTATAGCGCCACATCGGTGTGGTACGGGAGCAAGACGAATTGTTTACGGATGTTCTGCGTTTCGGCCTCGTTTCGGCGTGGTCAGTTTTCAAAATTGGACTCTCGCTGACGCGCCGCGCATATTCCTTATCAATGTCAAGCTCGCGAGGCGCCCGTCTTTCCAGGGCGCGCATCCAGGCATGAAAAGGACACTTGCGTGGACTTACGCAGAGGGAACAGTGGACTGGAGAGTATGTAGCATTGTCGCTGATGTATCCTGAGTTCTCTCTAATCTCCCCCCTTCTCATCCTCCTCCTCCTCTCCCTTGTTCTCCTCCTCCGAAGTGGCGGCCTAGTCGCGGCGCGCCCTCTTGCCCGATTGCGGCGGCGGCCTGTTATCCTCCTTTCCTTCTTCCTCTCTTCCCTCCTTTCCTTCATATCCCTCTTTTCCTCCTCTCCCCCCTTGCCTCCTTATCATCCTCTCCCTCTTCCTCCCTCCTCCTACTCCCTCCTTCCTCCTACTCCCTCTTTCCTCCTCCTCCCGTCCTCCTCCTTCCGCTGCTCCTCCTCCCTCCTGCCCCCTGCCGACGACGACGACGACGACGACGACGACGACGACGACGATCACATCGTCGCAGCTCCGGACTCGGCCGCGCGGCACCGCTCCGGCGGGCGAGGCCGTCAGGGCGGCACGCGCCACGCCCCCCTCCTCTGGCCAGGGGGGCGCCCCCGCCGCGGCCTGGGGACACTCGGGGGACCATCGGGGCAACTTGGGATCTGGCAGCCGCGGTATGCAGGAAGGGGGTTGCCGGGAGGTCTGTCCTGAAAGTCGAACGACCCCAGCCTGTCGAGTGGTGAACGATTCTGATGTCTTCTGACACGTTCTGATCTGGCATGCTCTGTGATATCATGTCATGCTATGTTATGTCATGCTCTGCTATGTCGTGCTATGTTCTCGTATATGTCTGTCATGTTCTGTTCTGTCGTGCTCTGTTCTGTTCAGTTCCGTCACGTTCGTCGAAGGGGCGAGGGACCGGACACCCGGGAGACCATCGGGGCAATTTGGGGTCTGGCGGCCGCGGTATGCAGGGTGGGGGTTGGCCGAGAGGCTTGTTCTTAAAATCTAACGACCCCAGCCAGTCGGGTAGGGAACTATAATAGTTTGCTGATTATTCCCCCGAGCTGCGTCCGCGCCAGATTGGGGGAAAAATACCGTAATAATTAATGCAATGTCCTGGCCACGTCGAACACGAACGAATTAATTTAATCAATACGTATAATTACTTGAATGAGTGTAATTGTATCATCTACGGGCCCCGGCGATCTCTGACAGCAGCAACATTAATTGAATCAATTTGTAGGGATTAATTAAATTATTTAAATTAATTACGCTGCTCTCAACGCTCGCCGGAAGCTCCCCAGCAGGAGGTCCAGAAATTAATTACATTAATTAAATCAATTGAAATAATTTTAAAAAAAAACTGGGATTAATTAAATTAATAAAATTAAGTATGCTGCTCTCAGCGCTCGCCGCAAGCTCTCCAGAAGGAGGGCCAGAAATTAATTAAGTAATTCAATTAATTCAATTAAATTAGATAGATTAATTAAATTAGATGAACGGTTTAAATTAATTGAATGGATCTAATTAATGTAATTAATCTATACAGATTAATTAACTCAACTAAATCAATTTAATTAATTGAAATAGTTCAACTAATTCAATTAATTCATTTAATTCAATTAATTTAAAGCATTCCATTAATTCGCGGGGATTAAGTAAATTAATTCAATTAAGTATGATGCTCTCAGCGTTCGCCGCAGGCCCTCACGAAGGAGGTCCGGACATTAATTTAATTAAAGCAATGAATCAGATTAATTAAATTAACTGATTCATCGGGTTACTTAAATTAGTTCCTACACACTACTTGAAATACTTTAACTAATTCCTACATACGAATTAAACTAAGTTAACTAAACGAATTCCATTAATTTAATTAACTAACTAATTCATTTAATTAATTAATGTGATTACTTTCTGGGCCTCCACCAGAGGCTTCGGCGAGCGCTGAGAGCAGCAGAATTAATTCAAATGATTTCATTACTTTGATTAATGTGTAAGGAGTAATCAAACTCATTCAATGAATTATGCTGCTCTCAGCTCTCGCCGCAGGCCCTCCAGGGTGAGGTCCAGAAATTAATTAAATCAAGTTTGTTAATTAAAATGACTAAATTAATTCATTTGATAGAACTACTTTGGATAATTAACTTAATCCCTACATATCAAGTTAATGAAATTAACTCAATTAATTTACAGAATGATAAAAAAAACAAGTGTACTTAATATAGGTTTTCGAAAACTAATGAGTTAATTAAATTTGAGTAACATTTAAAAGTTAACTAAATTAACTGAGATAATTAAATTCAATGAGCATGTTGTACTGGAAAGATCTCCGACCGTAAATATAGATATATATGTGACACTACGCATATGCATGTATATACACGTGTATCATGCATGAAACAATCATAGAATGCAGCGTAAATTACGTGTATATTACATAGAATGACTAGGTTTCTGGATGCTTGATCTCAGGCCAAGTTGCATTGTTATTCAACATGTTCAGCCCTGATTGGCTGGACACTCGTGGAAGTTGGGTGGTAGCTGATAAACACTGAGAGCAGATGCTATGCAGTTTAAGCCGTGCCAGGCTCTCAGCACTAGTAATTTCTGCAATCACCCTTGCAATGTGGACGAGCGGGCACGTTCGATCACAGCAGGTGGGGTTGGGACGTCTCGCATTGGTTCCTGTCTGTCCGTGCTTTCTTTCCCTATCTGTCTCCTCAGGAGGAGGAAGGGCGAGGAGAAGGGGAGGGGGGGTGGGAGGAGGAGAGGGAGAAGGAGGAGGAGGAGAAGAGGGTGCGAGGCGCAGTCAATAGTCGGATCTTATTGTGACCACAATTTTGCGCGTTCCGCATGTGAGCGGCGGGCCCTCATGAGGCCCCCGCTCAGGGGCCCTTAGTCGGTCGATTTCGGCTGTTGCTTCCATGGAAGGCGGCACCCGCCCGGCAGTTGTGAGCTTGACTCACGCCTTCGAGGACGACCGAACCGAACCCTCCTCCTTCCTCGAAGCTCGACCACGCCACGGCTGCGGCGGCGGGGACGTGGGTGGGGGCGGCGGGGGGGGGCACCCTGCTCAGCACGTGGGCCCGCAAGCATTCTGGCGGCACCGGCAGGTCGCCCTCGCTGAGCAGCCCGTACGCCTCGGGCCGACGACCGCCGCCGCCGCCGCTGCCGCCGACGTCGTCGGCGTCGTCGTCGCCGTCGCCGTCATCTCCTGCTCGTTGTTGGCTGCCGCGGACCTCCTCGGGCGGCGCGCACGAAGGGGTGGCGCGGGGCGTGGCCTTCTGAGAAGGCCGGGGTGCCTCCACGAGGGCAGGGGCCTTGCTGGATATGCAGCAGGCATCTAATACACCACCACCGTGTCTGGCCAGGGCCACCCTGGGCCAACGCATGGCGTGTACGTCGCCTGGGCGCCCCTCGGAGCCCCCGGCGCGGCTCGGAGTCTTGCCGGGGCAGCGCGGAGCCCCGAGCCCCACTGCCGCGGGGCGGCTTCTCGGCACGCGCAGGCCCGAGGCATGGTGGCATCGAGGACGCCGGGCCCCCGCTTCGCTGCCCACATCTCGCTCGGCAGCGCCAGAGCCCGCTGCCGCGGCTTGCCCTTCTAGCACGCGTTGATCAAAGCGTTGTGGCTGACTGGTGCGAACCCGTGGGGAATCCACTGCTGGCAGGTCAACGCGTCGGTCCCGAACGCTGCCCCGTTCGTCTCGCACGTGCTGATCGGGGTGCTGTAGCAGATGATGGTGGGTTCCAGCTTCACACCCAGCATCTCGCTCGGCAGCGCCAGAGCCTGCTGCCACTGCTCGCCCTGCCCGCACGCGCTGGTCCCAACGCTGAAGCTGATGGCATTGAGCCCCAGCTTCGCCTCCCAAATCTCGCTCAGCAGCGACATGGCCATTTGCCACTGCTGGCCCTTCCCGCACGCGCTAACCCCAGCGCTGAAGCTGTTGGCATTGAGCCCCAGCTTCGCCTCCCACATCTCGCTCAGCAGCGACATGGCCAACTGCCACTGCTCGCCCTCATCGCACGAGCTGATCCCAGCGCTGTAGCTGACTAGGACAAACCCATGGACGACAACCCGCGTGTGTCGATTTACGTACACACAGCAACGACAAGCGCAACGCGCACAGGCGAATGCAACTTCTGCAGTGGACAGGCTCGATGACGCCATGGCACGGCGCATACATTGCAGCATGGCACAACGAAACGTCTGAAGGGCTCGAGATGTTCGCGACACAGCACGTTGGAAATAAAACAGCACTGCACACGCACACACAAACAAAAACACACACACACAAAACACAAACAAACAAACAAACACACACACACACACACACACACACACGTACACTTATTGGCGATCGCGGCTTCGCGCGCGGCGACGAGGCGGAGCAATGCGAGCGAGCTGCACGGAGCCAGTGCGCGCGACCGGGCCCTTCGAAGCGGGATCCCGTTGGATCGACCGCCCGCGCGCCGCCTGGGCGCGGGTGGTCGAGGCGGGGATGTATGCACATCCACCCCCTTGGAAGCGACGTCCTGGGGACCCAGCGGGCGGTGGGTGTGGATAGATGTTGGCCCCCAGGGGCCAAGAGGTATCCATATCCACCGCCTGTGGAGGTCCGCAAAAATCGATCCTCCAGGCGATGGTTATGCAGAAATCCCCGCCTCGAAGGTGGCGAGTGAGACACTTGTGGCACCGCCAGAAGACGGAGACGAGCAGCAAGGCGACACGGCCACGCGACAGCGACAGAGGCCAAGGCAGCGGAGCACGACGAGGCGCACTACACAGAGCGCGAGGGCACCGTCTACAGCCGGACCTAGGCCAGGAGGACCTCCATCATGAACACGAGACCCTACGTCGGCCAAAACAAAAAGAACATCCAGGGGTACCCCCCCCGAGCGTGCACAAGAAAATCCAACAGAAACGAAGAATACCAGGGTACCCTCCCTGGACAGACCTCGATCTCATACCTCGGCCCGACTGTACACAGAGCGCGAGGGTACAGTCCACCACACGTCGCAGCGAAAACAGACCGAGATGGAGGGCGGAGGCAGAGCCAGTGCCAGTGCCAGTGTTCCCCGGAGCTACCCAGGGGGGTTCGCCCGACGGGGACGAGGCGTGTGAAGCCAGCTGGCCGGCAAGGCAGCTGAGGCGTGAGTGGAGGAAGGAGGAGACAGGCAGTGTGACAGAACTGCGCACGTCAGCGTTTCGGATGAGGACGAGGGCGTGGGACGAGACAAGTCCCTGAAGGACGGCGCGTGTGGCGCCCCTAGAAAGACCGCGCCACGCGGTCGGGCCTGCTGGGGGAGGAGTCCCCACCAATGCCCTCTCCAGAGGGTGGATCCACTCCAGAGGGGTCGAGTTCCACGACGTGCCCTGGTGAGCGTAGCTGTGTGCCCTCTGCCAAGAGCGCCTCCAGGAAGGCAAGGAGGATGCCCCTGTCGCAGTACGGGACGGCGCCAACCCGCAGGCTTTGACCGGGGAAGTGCTGCAGCAGAAGTCGAAAAAGGGATCAACTACAGCATTGACTAACCACGAAATTGATTTTTCCTCTCGAATCCACATGAAAACCGTGGATTCGGCAGAAAATTTCATTCGGGGGGATCAATTCTGCAGTCGATCCCCTATTCGAAGGAAGGCGCGCTGGGCGCTTCCGTTTCTGCGTGCGCCTGTGACCCCGAAGTGGAATTACACCCCTGCACGAGGAACTGCAGCGGCAAGCCGCCCCGTGTTTCCAGCCTCCCGCGCGGCGGCGGGAGGGGACGGCGGCCAGGGGGCTCTGGAACGAGTGGCTCGGCAGCCTCGGGCGGGCGAAGCCGGTCCGGCCGCGTTGGGGTTCCGCGATCGCTGTCACTGGAGCCGGGGAGACGTAAGACTCGGGCACGGGGGACTCGGGTTGACCTGGCGGGGCCATCATGAAAGGACGAGGCCCAATCTGGGATTGGGCGCGAGCTCCCGCTGCAGACATCCCACGAAGACTGGACCGTCCAAATCCAGGACGCACTCGCCGAAAAACTTCGGCAAACCCCAGTTCCAGCTTACTCGAGTCTTACGTTTCCCCGACGGAATCCTCGTCGCGCTGGCCGGGACCCCGCCGTGGCCTGCTCGGCCAGAGTTGAACAGGTGTTCCTCCTCCTCCTCCTCCTCCTCCTCCTCCTCCTCCTCCTCCTCCTCCTCCTCCTCCTCCTCCTCCTCCTCCTCCTCCCCCTCCTCCCCTTCCAATTTTTGGCTTAAATATTCATATTCCCTGCAAGATGTTCTGTCGATGTCTCATGGTCAGCGCGCTCCGCCGATGACATGGGGAAGAAAGGATACTGCCGTCAAGCATGCAATCAAGTACCACTGAACGCAGGAGGCCGGCCCGCCGGCCGACGCACGCGCGCGCGCCGCAGGCTCGCTCCTTTTCCGCCCCCCTAGAGCCACAGTGTAGCTGCAGGTAAAACATTCAAGTCAAGAAGAGAAAGAGACAGTGCAGCAGACAGTGCAGGCAAGGCTAGATAGCAGGACGGGCAGCAGGATGGTGGTGCGGAAAGAGTGCATTGACTCCCCCCGCGGCGGGATCCGTAGAGTCGCCCCGACCCCCCACCCACCTGGCCTGTACAGATGTACAGCCACTGGAGCGAACCCCAAAAGCACTTTACCGCTCGACGGTGGTTGCCAGGGGGCGGAAGACCGAAGTAACCCGACGTACCCCGCAAGACCGAAGACCGACGTAACCCGACGTACCCCGGCGCCCGCGGCGCGCGAGGCACCCGCGGCGCCCCTGGCACCCGCGACGTCGGCGGCACCAGCGGCGCCTGCGGCGCCGGAGGCGCCCCCGGCGCCAGCGGCTCCAGCGGCGCGGCCCGCCGATGGCGGCGCCAGCGTTGCCCGCGGCAGGGCGCGGCGCGGCGGGCGGCAGGGCCCGTGCTGCGGCCGGGGGCGCCCGCCACGGCAACTAGAGGATGGGAGGGCTGGGGCGGGGCACCCCTTCCCAGCCACCCCCCCACGCAGGGCACGCCGAGGGTCGGGGCCGACCTCCGGCCCCGCGGCAGCGGCCGCTGCGGCTGCGTCGAGCCAGAGCGGCCTTGAGCCAACGCGTGGGCCCAAGGCTACGGGCACACACTCACACACACACACAACGAAACAGGTGGAATAACAGACATGTTGTTCGCGACGTGGCCCGAGCGAAGGGGAAGAAACGAGGAGCAGGTGACCGTAGAGGGAGGGTTAGAGGAAAGAGAACTATGCACATACACCGATTCTGGCCAGGCCCATCCTGAGCCCAGGATCGGTGCATACGCCCTCCCACAGTGGCTAGGGAAGCATATGCACCGACCCTGGGTCAAGGATGGGCCTTACCAGGATCGGTGCATGTGCATAGTTCTCTTCGCCCTAAGGGTGGGGGCGTGATGGATGGAAAAGCAGCGAGGAAGAAGAGAGGTTTGCGGAGCAGCTGGCGCCCGCGCGAGGGGCGCGGCATGCTGCGGCCGCGGCGTCGGGGGCCAGACTCGCGGAGGCGGCGGGAGCCGTGCCTGGGCCCGGGGCAGAGACTTCGGGGCCACCCTTCTGCGGATGAGCTGGGGACGCCTGACAACATTGACTACCTACCAGACCACCCCAACCCAACCCGAAGACCCGAATTTCGGGTTGGGGGGGGGGTAGGGTTCCACGCGTGTTTTTTCGATGTTCCCCGACCCCCCCCCCACTGGAAATCGACGGTAAATTTGAGCCCTCGGGTTGGGTTGGGGTGGTTTGGTGGGTGGTGAAACATGGAAGCCCTGGGTTGGCCGCCGTGGATCCTGAGCCCACTTCGTTTTTGTGAGGCCCTCTGCGGACCATCCCGGCGCCTCGCGGAGGCCTCCTGGGGGCCATCGTGGAGCCTCCGCGAGGCGCCGTGGGGCCATCTCTGGAGAGTCGTGAGCTCACCCGGGTCCCTCGCAGGAGGCGCTTCGGCTGTCTTGGGAGCATCTTGCGGGCAGCTTGGGGGCGTCCTCGGAGCGCCCTTGGCCGGCGTCGGGGCCCGGAGGGCTCGCACACCGCGCTCGTTTCGACACGCGCCTCGCCCAAGACTGTGCAGGGCAGTCTTGAGTACACAGGTATAAGAAAAAACAGATGTTCAATCCATGATTAATGCATGAATAAATGTATGCATGAACTCATCGTTGTTTTTAATACTAATTCCCTGCATTCTTAATGCATGATCCGCACGCGGAGCATGCATTTAAAGAAGGCACTGTAACTTAGATGGCCTCGGGCTCCGACTTCGCATCCCGCAGCTGGCTGAGCAGCTGCCGACATTGGGCTCCAACATAACAGCCAACATCTCGCTGAGCAGCAGCACGGCCTGGTGTCACTGCTCGCCACTCTCACGCGTGCTCACCCCAGCGCTGTCGCCAGCCAGGGCGGACCCATGCAAGTGCATCCAAAGGGGCTTCCTGCGAGATGGAATGCCACTGCCAAGTGCAAAATGCGGATGCCCGTCCACGTGATCACAATGTGTGCCCAGTAGGGTCCCACACAAACAGAGCTTCGCAAGACACGCGAAAACGCAAAAGCCCGATCTGAAGATAGCCTGGGAATCCTGCCGAATCTCGAGACGACCTCTCGCACGCTGTAACGGCGAAGTTGAAACCTTTTCCGTTCGGCTCCAAATTGCTCTCCCTCATCTCGCCAAGCTGCGACAACGCCTGCTGCCACTGGCCGCATCTCTCACAAGCGCAAATCACAGCGTTGTAGCTGACTAGGGCTGGCCCTTGGGCCTCGGTCCACGACAGCTGATTCGCACGCAGGGATGAAATATTGCTTGCCTGCCGCCCTGCTCCTGCTGTCCTGCGGACATGGCTGTTAGCCCGCCAGCCCATAAGCTTTCCGACCAACGCTCCTGTTCGCTGACCAGCGTGCCTAATGCCATACAGTCGGAGCGTTGCCCTAAGGAACCCTAAATAAGGAACGGGGCCCCTTTCTCCCATAAGTTGAACTTCGATTTCCCGTGGAAAACCTCAGGAAAACAGAAGGCAAACTGTAGAACAGTCACGGAACATCGAGCCCCTCCCCAACGAAAAGGGTTCCTTCTTCAGGGCCCCCGGCTGTACCCTCCAGCCTGCCTGCGCGCCTGCTTTGCCGGCGTCGTCGTTTCAGCGTCCTGTGCGCCGACAGCGAAGCCCACGAGGCACGCTGGCCACCGCGCGACGGGGGCAGTGCAAGGGCGGGCGGCCCAGAGCAGGATGTGCTCGCGCGGCCTCTCCGGCGGGCGGCCGGCGGCGTGCGCCGGGTGCGGGCTGCGCGGAGCTCGAGGCGTCGCTGCTCCTGCCGAGGCGGGCGTCTTTGTGCGCTCACCGTGGGTGCGTGGATGACTACCTACCAGACCACCCCAACCCAACCCGCAGACCCGAATTTCGGGCTGGAGGGGGGGGGTAAGGGTTCCACGTGCTTTTGCTCGACGTTTCCCGAACCCCCCCCCCACTGGAAATCGAGGGTAAATCTGAGCCTTCGGGTAGGGTTGGGGTGGTTTGGTGGGTGGTGAAACATGACAAGCCTGGGTGGGCCGCCGTGGATCCTGAGCCCACTTCGTCTGCCCGAGGCCCTCTGCGGACCATCCCGGCGCCTCGCGGAGGGTGGTGCTCGGGTCTCGGTGGTGGGCGCGTTTACCCGGTGTGGTGCGACGTGGCGTGCGGCTCGCGCTCCGGCACGTCGGGCTCGGTGTGTGTGTGTGTGTGTGTCAAGCACTCCTGCGGGCCGGGGCTGGTGCCCGGACGCCACAGAAGACAGAGCTGTGAGGTGCGTCGCAAGGAAAGCTCGGACGGGTGTTTGCGGATAGCTGGTCGCGCTCCCGAGTGACTCGTCGCACGAGACGTCCGAAGGCATCTTTTGGGCGCAGGCTCGGACCACGAGGATGGCGGGATTGTTTGGCCACCAACGCGGCGAGACATGCGGGCGATTGGCGAGGGGCGAGTTGTTGGTTACGGTCGGTGCTTTCACGGTGGGTGTGAGGTGCGTTGTGGCCGACGTTGCGCTTGTGAGCGCGGGAATTATATGAGTTTGGACTAGAGTCGGAGCGGGAGTAGGCGGAAGACGAGGGGACGGTGAATGGTGTAGTACGGCAAACGCAGCAAAACGCGGGATCACACTGGACGAAGACGGAAGCGGAGAAGCAGACTCTGTGCCTGGATGAGGTCGGTCGCGTCTGGATCGTGGGTCAGAGGCGCATTGAATGCCTCAGGAGGGGGAAGGCTCCAAATGTCAGATCGGGTTCCCCCTGGGGCCCCTCTGGGGGCCCTCTACTGAGCCGTCTGTCAGGCCTCTTGTGCCGCCTCGGGGCGCTCTTGGTCAGTCCTGGGGCCCTCTCGGGGGCGTCTTGGGCCGCCTTGGGACGATGTCTGAGGTCTCTTGGGCCGTCTTGAGCGTTCGGGGGCCCGAAACAGCGAATACCCAAAAAAAAGTCCACACGACCAAACACTGCAGAAGAAAACAACAGCTGCTTTCTGGAAACCATCTTGGAACCCTCTTGGAGCCCTCTTGGAGCCTTCTTGGGGAGTGTGGGCGTCGTGGAACACTCCTGGGCCGTCGCGGGGCTCTCTGGGGCCGTCTTGGAGCTATCCTTGGCTATCTGGAAGGACCTGGGCGCCCAGGAGGGCGTCGCCTTCGACCGGAGCAACCCCAGCACCGCCGTCCAGGGCTGGGCCGTCTGAGATCGCCCACTATTATAATGTAGACTAGGGCTGCCAAGTGGAGTACATCCACAAAAATCTGAAGAAGCTGGCATGAGATTGTGGACTGCGTGCTGCTGCTTGCTGCCGCTGTTGCGCGCTGTTGGTAATGAATGCTCGCCGCTGCTGCGTGCAATTGCTGCGTGCAGCTGCGTTGTACTGCCGATGGCCCGATCTGCTGGGTGCGTGCTGCTGCCCGCCGCCTTCTGCTGCTGCTGCTGCTGCTGCTGCTTGCTGCTGCTGTGTGCTGTCGCTGCTGCTGCCTGCTGCTGCTGCTGCCGCTGCTGCTGCTGCTGCTTGCTGCTGCTGTGTGCTGCTGCCTGCTGCTGCTGCTGCTGCTGCTGCTGCTGCTGCTGCTGCCTGCTGCTGCTGCTGCTGCTGTTGCTGCTGCTGCTGCTGCTGCTGCTGCTGCTGCTGCTGCTGCTGCTGCTGCTGCTGCTGCTGCTGCTGCTGCTGCTGCTGCCTGCTGCTGCTGCTGCCGCCGCTGCCTGCTTCGCGCTGCGTGCCGCTGCCGCTCGCTGCTGCTGCATGCTGCTGCTGCTCGATACCCCCACAGGGCGGAGCCGATCGAGAAGGGAGGGGGGGAGAGCGAGGAGCGCTCCGCGGAGAGCGAGGAGGGGAGGAGCAGCGGCCGAGAAGAGAGGGACGAGGAAGAAGGGGGGAGGGAGAGCTCCAACTCACCTCCTCCTCCTCCTCCTCCTCCTCCTCC